TTAGGAGTCACAGCCCCAAGCGCTCCTACCACCGCTGAGACCGCTTTGGCCTTTACTTTCCACATCCCCTCTAGGTCCTCCTCTAGACCCTGGTCCTTCTCCAGCTTCTCAAACTCCTTCCAGATGTTGCTGTCACTTGGCACTGCTACATCTATCCCCACCACTGTCTTCTGGTCCTTGTCTACTACCACGATGTCTGGTTGATTGGTCAGTACTTGCCTGCCTGTCTGGATCTGGAAGTCCTACAGAATCTTAGCCCGGTTATTCTCCACAATCTTCTGTGGAATCTCCTAGATTAGTGTATGTACATATGTATTGTGTATGCGTATACACGCGCACACACACACACACCACTGTTTTGAAGAGCATTATCAGTTCTCTGTCCTGTTTACTTCACCACTTTACATGTATTGTGATATGCCCTGATGTTGACTGACCTTCTTTTCTTCCCTCTTCCCTTTATTTATTGCTTAATTGTAAAGGAATTCTAGGTTTCAGAGTTGTGGTATTTCTAAGCCTTTATAAATGGAAGCTTCTGAAATTCAACTATTTTGCATATTAGGTAACAGAGAGTGTGTGATAGAACTCATTTGCTGAATTTAAATAGTTCATGTCCTGCTCAGTATTTGGTTAGAAGAATATCTAAGAAATCCTTTTTTTTTTTTTTCTACTATGAATTCCATGGTGGAAGGCACTTGGGAAATAAATACATTAAGAGTAATTAATCTATTTCTTCCAAAATAAATTACAGCATTCTCTGACAGGTGATGCATATGTCTATGAACAATCTTGACAGTCTCACTCAATGATGGTGGGTCGTCTTGCCCTTCCTTGACCACAGAATTGACTAAATCACTGCCAGGGTTTCATTAACATGAAATCCCTGATCAATATGCCTGACACTCTCTCGAACTCAAGACGCCTTCATGCATCAGTCTTGACCATGGCTCTCAAATGTTACCTGTCCTAACATGGAAGTGAATTTGCAGGATCCTAATTCATCAAGACTTCTCAAGAATTTAAAGAAAAGCTTCCTAAGATGGTTTTATGGACCACTAGTTACAGTGGGGTGGGAGGGAGTGCCGCAGTGCATAACTGATTAACGGATGTTGCTCAACATGTTCCTGCAAAATAGGATTCATGCATTCAGATCAGAATGGGAGAATGTTAACAACCTCTCCCTATTAGTAATTAGCTGAGAAGGCTTGCAGAAAGTATCATGGGCCGCTGGGTAGAATCTCCCATGTGATAAGCATAGGAAAAAATGCCCACCTTCCAATAGATGTGTTGCTCCTTAATGACGTCAGTGCCTCAATCTGTCTGCCCAGCTCGCATCATAAATGGCATGTGATTCCTGTTCAACTGGAATAAGCTGCGCATGGGGAGAAAAGGGACAACTGTGGCAAAAAATACAAAAAGATATGGATCCTATGCAGTGAACAATCTGTAGGGAGGTCTTCCTAATTCCTCTTAACTAAAACCAAGCTGGAAAAAACCTTTCGTTCAGCAGTGTAAGTATGTCCTCCTGGGGTAGAGGATGGAGATAGCTTTGTGTGCTGAGGGATGCAGGCATTTGTGATTTTTCCCAGCTTCAAAAACTCCACAAAATAGATTTTAGTTTAGTTTGGTTTTCTCTGTTTGCCAGGAACTGACTTAAGGCTGTTCTTTGCCCACTGTTCTGTCACTGAGACTACCCTCTCCAAACTGACCCTTCTGAAAACCCAGAAAGGAAGATGTGCCTTCATGCTAGAGACTGCAGTTCCTCCAGGGAATGGGACAAGGCAAGGAAGATCTATGGTAAAGGATACAAATAAAGCCCCATAGTCGACCAGACTGGAATGGGGAGGAGGTCTAAGACCTGATGGTCTAATTCAACAAATCCGTATCTCAGGACAAATCCATATATTGCATAACAGGGAAAGGAACAGGAGGCATCAACAATGTGCATTTCATTACAAGACCCTCAAGTCCATTCTGTAGCATAAACTCCAGCCTGTAAGGTCTTAAGAATGGGGCTGCTGGAGGTCTGGAATCTTAGAGGTTCCAGTTGGACTTCAGAGAGAGGCAAAGAAGGAGAAGGAGGGGAGAGGGAGAAAGAGGTAGGAACAGGGTTGGGCTGTTGGCCACATTCTTGAGGGCAACAATCTAATCAGGATAGATGAGTGAGCCAGGTTTGAAGAACAACCCAAGTGTTAATTTTGGAGCAATCAAGAAGTCACAGCTGCTGAATGAAAAAATATCAGAAAGCAGTTAGATCTTCTTGCTCAAGCAAGACCCAGTTATATCAGGAAGTGCTTCCTCTCCTTGTAGAAGATACCAGGTCCCCCTTGGATGTTTTGACTCAGTCCATCTACACAAAGTTTCATTGCCCAAGAAGCCACTGCTAACTGTGGTGTGCTAGAAATTATCCACATATCCAGCAGCATCTGATGGACCAGGGCTCTCTTCGGTCATGAAATTGCCACAGACCTCTTATGAGGTGTCCAATTTGTTTGAAGATCCACAATACGAGCTTGAGGCCCTTGAGAAATTGCCTCCCAGGCTTTCTCAACTGAAAAGATCTTGGTGTTACCACCTTGGTGCTCCTCCTTAGCCATCTGCCATGCATGTATTTCAGTGAAAAACGGCCACGTTATGATGAGAGACAATGATGTTCATTGCAGAGGCTGCCAGAATGGCAAGCTCCGGCCTATGTGCCCCATGGAGATCACCACAACCCCCATTGCTTCCCTTGATGCAGATCGCTTGATTGATTGATGGCTGTATGATGTCTCATACCATACAGGGCTTGAAGCCTCTGTAACCATTATAAATGCAGCTGTGATAAATAATGGATAACCCTCTTCCCCACCTAATCTTAGGCCAAACAGCCATCTGCTCTGAGAGCTTTCCTGGATGAGACATTAAAAGTAATATTTGAACATGGGCTATTATTTATTTACAGCTCTGTGAAGGCAGGGTTGTGCAACAGGACGGCTTGGCACTGAGTGGGTGTGCAAGCAAAGGGCATGTTTCACTTCACAGAACATCATCGTTCGCAAGAGCCAGGTTCTGCACGCTAAGGGTGGTGGGCAGGCCTTTCTTACATAGCTGGGTTGTC